CTACGAGTGCTAGTTTCGATTAATCATGTATGGTAAGACCAGTAGATAGTAACTATAATTATTTATTGTGTGTGCTTTTTAAGGAGTCGCACCCAATATGCACTCACAATCTGTGTGATTCTGAAGGTAGGAGGTACGTGGACACATCAGCACACAAGGATAGGCTTGGCGAAGGTCTCCTGCATTCACAGTGCAATCAACGTCACATCCGGTTAACTCAATAGTCGGTTCCATCGCTGTTTTGCGCGTTTGACTGAGACCTGAGGTGGTAGAAAATGTCGCCTACCGCAATACTTGCACTGAACAAAGTGACTAGGCAGATGTCTAGGACTGCGTAGTCTGAGGCGATAATCTTCGTCTCAGAGGCATCTATTTTAAGACAACCCTCGGTTGCCTTTGCGTCTATCCGAGGCACAACCCATGGCATTTTTGTCACGGAGTTAACCAGCAACAGCATGAGCGTACTCAAGATCCGTAATACACGAATTCAGGTCGACATGGGGACGGGCTGTCGGCACCTGTTGAAAACCCCAGTCTGACGAGTAGTAAAACCGAGTTAGTGAAAAAACACGGTTCAGACGGATGCGGTTGGTGACGCTACAAAACAAGACTACATGTCATAGTGTGGTGAGTCTGAGGCAAGCGAATGAATTCCACCGGTACATCATCAGGCAACATGTTAGACCACAACGAATCCCAGTAAATAGAATCAAGACAAATAACAGTGAAATGATCGTAGCAGTAGGGTTCAATGGGGAGAGAATGCTGAAGAACGTCCCCAAGCCCTGGCCGAAATCTGCACTGATTGTCGCCCGTGCATCATGATGCAAGCAGAGGCAACTGAGGGGAACCGCGAAGAATCTAATGACGACGGTTAGTACATGGTGAGTTAGCACTGCCATCGTTAACTGTCATCAACGGGTCATACCCAAGCCAAAGTGGTGCCCCACCCAAGACTCGAACCCACGACTTTTTGGTCAGAAGTCTAACGCTGTAATTGTTGCACGTAATCTGCCTATTTATCTACTCTATGCTTAGACTACTAGCCGCTATCAGGCTGCTGGTGAGGCTCGAGAATGAAACTCAAGGCAGGGCGGGACGAGTCAGTTCCGTTAGCGTTCAGCAACGAGTGTCAATACCTAAACCGGCAAGACAACGAGCTCAATGGTTAAAACGTTAG